AAACAGTTTTGTTTTTCTGAAATTGTATGATTAAAGTACAAAGTGTGAATTACTTTGGTTTACTAGAAAAGAATTAAACATATATACAACATAATATCTGTTGGTTTATTCTTTAATCGTTATATGTACTACATTACTAGTTTTTTCGGATACGTGGGAAATACGTTAGTCTAAAAGGTTAAATAATAATTATTTATAAATCACTTAATCCGTACTAGATAATTTCGCAATCAATTAGAAATCGAATAAAAATTACTCTACGCGTGATAATTTCTATAGTAGTAAGAATTATTATATTTGATACATTGATAAATAACACGAAAGAAGTCGTTATATACCGAGCCAATTCAATTAATCCGATCATTCTGTATACATCAATAAAGCCGGTATTAAATATAAAGAAATGAGTGCATCAAAGGTATCATTGTCTATTAATTGATAATCATACCGTGATAATAAATGTTGAAATAGATTTTTAATACTAAATATTTAAGAAACATAAAAAATAGCTGATTATAATGTAATAAAATAATTTATATGTTAATATTATGGATTTTTATGTGTTATTAAATTCAAGTTTCATGAGACCTTTTGTCCTTGATGGAACATAATAGACTAACCTTATGATAAATTATTGTATTTTCTTGTATGAAAAATTTAAGGTTTGGGTTCTTAATCGATAAACTTTTTTTTTCAGTTCAACTTGAAAATATAGTAAAGAAAATGTAAGCTAATTTTACAAAATACTTTCAACATTTTATTTAAGAAATAGATTTTAGTTATAGTTAGTTTTATCATATTTAATGTTGTTTGACGATTGAAAAAATAATTAGGGTCACGTAGTATTAAAATAAAAAAAAAACATCAAATGGTATCGAATCTATGCTTTATGATTTTTAAAATTTTAGCATTTAATAAACCACTATTTTATAGTTTACGTCGAATAAATTCATTTATAACATGAAATAAATTATATAATCTTTTATAATTAAAATTCAAAATATAATATCAAGATGAAATGTTGTTTGCACATCTGATATTATATTTCATTCTCATTCCAAAAAAAAAAAACCTAATAGGGTAATATGTACAGTTATTGGCAGAGATAGAGTTATTAGCCAATTTTAGCTATTTTATCAATAAATAAAAAGTGTTTTGATTTATATTTTTATCAAAAATTAATTCTTTATGTAACTGTAAAAGGTACTAAATCAATTTTAAAAAGGGTGCCAATTAAAAAAGAGCCAATAGTTGTCTAATCTAAATAACATTAGTTCTTATGGGAAAGTAAGGTGCCAATATCTGTATTTTTTTATCACTTTGTAAAAACCAATAATTTAAAAAGAAGTATAGCATCTACAAAAATTATGAAAATAAAATTCAAAATATAGCAATATTTTTTATTGATAGGAATTAGTGAAACATTTTCAATCACGATAACAGATTAAATACACTGATTTAAAACTATATTTACCCTATTGAAATGTACAATGTACTGTGTGATATTTATACAATTAACATTTTACGGTCAAATCAGAGTATTTTTTATTTTATTATTTTATAAACTTTGTCTATGTGCAATTCATTTCATTAATTACAATATAGCCATTTGAGAATTAACCATAATTTAATGTTATGTATACACATAAATTTAAGTCAAATATAAGAGAGCGTAATTTTAGAATTATTTATAGAAATCAAAATATTAAATTGAACATTATTAATGTTGAGTTTGATTAGGTTTGGTTGAATTAATATAAATAATATTTATGTCTAATTAGTAAACAATTAATTGAATAATTTATTAGTCAATTTAAGTGATTACATGTCAAATTTAATATTATATGAGAAGAAACTATGACTATTATACATATAATTTTTCTATGACAACATACGTATATGTACGTTATCTATTTTTACTTGGTTTCAGTGACAAAATCAGACATTTATTTACAGGAAGGTTTCACAACAATTTTGTTAGTCGTTCAGTTAAATAAATAAATACAAGTTTTATGTTATCGAAAATAATTTTTTGATTTTAAGGCAAGAGTATTAAAAATCTTGAACTTTAACAGTCGCGATTTTGGTTACTAAATTTTTAAAAATAAATTTCAAATAAAGACTAAAGTTTATAATTCTAAAATTATTATTATTATAATTTAAGATTTGAGTTTATATGTGTTTTTATGTTACTTATTGTATTTTTAAGTTACGTAATCATTTACAACAATGATATTATATATATTAAGTATTTTTAGCTCATTATATAATACTTTACTTACGTAACATTAACAATTACTAACTTATGACGGATTTTCGATAAAATTTAGATTATAATGCTCAATATACTAAAAAACGCAGTTAGATCAGAATGTGATTATTTTTAACATTGTAACTTGATAGTTCATTATTAACAATAATAAAATAAAGTATAATAACAAAATTCTAGGAATATTAATATGCATATTTTTTCGAATGTGATTAACTGTAATTATCTGTAGGAATGACATGTTTTTGATATATTTTCAATCACTGAATCAAATAGTTTTATTATAATACTATCAAATAATTGATCAAATCGGCCAAATAGAAGAAAATGAAGATTTTGGTATAGTTCAATAATATTTGTCGTATCTTATTTTGTATCACTTAGGTACATTTATTTTATCACCACAATTATTTGTCACATAACATATTAATTAACTTCTTTTTTAACTTGCTCTCTGTATTCCCCATGTTTAACTATAGACAAAGTTATTGAATTATATATCATTATTAAGCTTATTAACCAAAATTAGAGATAAAAATAATAGATATATAATAGAATAGATTTAATATCACTGATATAGAATAAATAATTAGTGTTACTTTAACGATTGTTGTAGAATGGAAATTTGCTCCAAAAATATTTGATGAATGGTTTATGAACGATCGATTGACAATCTTTCAAAAATTAACAATCGTCCGATTAAATATTCTTTCGCGTGTTGTGTAAATCGATAAGCATAAGTAATATCGGAATGCTAGTAAAAGTTTTTGTAACAAACGGTCTCACTAACCATATTCACTGATATTGTACTTATGTTTATGTTGACTTAATATTTTTATAAATTTATGATATTCTTCTTCTTCTTCCTCGCTTTTATTCCATATACTTGTGATATCCTAAACCTCTATTTGACGATCTATCACATTATCTATACATACCAGAAATTCTTATGTCACTTCCAATTGTATCCAATCACCTCTTCTTCAGTCTTTCTCTCTTTCAATGTTTATTCCAATAATCGTTATTTTAGCTCTCGGTTTCTCTATCCTCATAATATAATCCAAGCTTATTTTCTCTTATCTTATCCACGATCGACAATCCTTCTATGCTTCTTCTTACATATTCATTCCTTCTCCAATCTTCTCTCGTTATCTATCTAATTTTATTTTTATTAAACATACTAATTAGTATATGACATTAAAATTGAAAATATTTTATTTATTTCTATTTTTATATAAAATCTGGCGAAAATCTTCCATATATTGTAAAAATAAAATGATAATATAGACATACAATTGCTCCAGATTGACACATTTCACAGTAATTTTCTTTAATTTTTAATTTTTTTAATTTAATTTTTTAAAGGGGTAATATTGTAACCAACCTTCAAGTTCATTGACACTAGATAACAACCAAGAGTATTCATGAGAATTTAAGCGCATTGGTATCTCATTGTATTCTGTAATGGGGTTTTGACATTTTTTATCACTATTAAAATTCCCGATTTGTCACCCATCTATAAACCAATAATAGCGGTAGTTGTGGAAAACACTTAATGTTTAATAACTAACGTGTCTGATATACTTTTCATAGTTTCAAAATGTGACGTGGACATAATTTTCTTAAATTTCTTATTCGTAATTATCAACTCTAAATCTTCTTACTAAAATAGTTTTTTTCGTAATAAATAAACTTTGCAAATTTTGAAGTTAAAAGTGGAAATGATATTAATCATTGCTTGAGAAAATATTTTTATAATTAATATATATTATATTATTTTAAAACTTTGTTTGATTCTATAATTAATAATAATAGTTCTTTATTTTATTTTAATTATAAAAAATAATTAATTATAACAACGTAAAACATATATTTTGTTTTACATGATAAAAATTTATCGAAGTAATGGAGGATGAGATAATTGGAGGCATCTTAGTTTAATGAAAGTCGTTTCATTTTCCACGTTATTCGACGGTCCTGAGTAATTTTTAGGTATTTTACTGTATTATTGGTAGGAAAATTTATGTCATTTAGAGAAATAGAAGGATAGGTGTTAAGAAGTCATTTAAAAGTAATTTGGATAGATTTTAATTGATTAAATATTATTCTCCAGGATTGGTTTTATTGATCTATTAGGTCCAGATGATGCTGTAAATCATTTGGAATGTTTGAGTATTTTTTATTAGGTACCGTAGTTTTATTACTAACAAACTTTATTGATTTTAAGTGAATTTTTTTTAAATTGTTAAAAACATTCTCAATTTATGGAAATTTTCCACAGAAATAAAGTATTATTGATAACTTATTATTCGTTATACTATTTTTCATTAAATATAATATCAAAATATAAAATTGAGGTGCTTATTAATATCATAGATTTTTGTAATCTTTCAGCATCAATAACATTTATTATTTAGAATCCAATTAGTTGTAATGATTTAATAATTTAATTAAAATACTATTTACAATTATACTATTTATTTGTTCTAAGAATTATACATATGGGAAATTTATTATGATAACACATTTTCAAAACTAATCATAGAACTATTAGTACTGAAATAACTCTAAAAAACAAATTATTTAAATGTGTTATCATTATGCTTTATTAATTATATTTTAAAGTGTCTTTATGCCGATGAAATATCTATACAGTTTATCCAAAGACCTTAAAAAAAATTTGGTCATAAAATATCTACCTAGTAAAAATATTTCTGATACTAAAATTTACCTTGGATAATAGAAGAATTTAAATTAGTCTTGCTGGACTACTGCGCAGTCCTGTTTGCGAGCGTTACACCATTTGAACATACAATAATACTTTGTTGACCATTGAATCCTCAGTTTAAACCGATTTGACCTCGGTAACGTTACCACTAATATTATCGCATTTTATACATGAAAAACACGCTTAGTAAAATATTAATAAGTGATGACTTCAAACAAAAAAATGTTAATATTCGTAACTTATAAGTGTAATTCATTAATTAAAACTTTCTCAAGAACAAACGTATCACGTGAAGTTCAACAATAACAGAACCTATTTTCCTTTCGATTTTTTCGAAGTCAAACTAGGTTAATTTTCTTTCAAAACTTTAGTTATATCTAGAATTTCAAATGACTATTTCGGTTCTTAAGTTCCTGAATACTGTTTGGATAATAAAGCAAGATACGCAGAGGCTTTCAAATGATCATATTATTCGATTGAATGACCTTCACCTGAATCTGCTGTATAAACCGCTATGATCCCCCCTACAAATGAAGTAAAAAAGCACTTTATTTTTCATGTAAGCAACATAGTTTGGTAAATTTTTTTTTAAATTTCTATTTGTATAACAAAAAAATAATAAAATTAAATTCCATTTAAAACATGTCAATTTTTTATATTATTTTTTAAAATTAAATATTATCTATTGGCGGAAATGTAAAGAGTTTAAAGAAATTTAGTTATTTTTGTAATTTATATAACAAATGAGTTTTAATATATTTAAATTATAAGTTAATTAATGAATTATTATTTTTTCTTTATAATTAATTAAAAAAATGACGAATACTTTTTTTTTTATTATTTTTACTTTACATCACATTTCAACAATTTAATACGTTATTGCACGAAACACAATTGCACATGAAATATAATTAAAATAATTATCTTTAATTTACTAAAAATTATTTAATTCACATAAAAACAGTACAAGGACAATTATAATTTATTTGAAAAACTGCAATTTTTAGCAAAAGAAACATACAAACATACATATCTATTTTAAAGTTAAATTTTTTCACTAAAAATTATTAGATATTTGATGATTATAATCAAAGAAGCATTATTAACGAAAAATGTTTCAATTAAATAACTCTTGATAATAAATGATATTTTTCTTTTTTTAACGATAGTTAAGCCATACTACTCTATAGAGTAGTAAGGAATTCCTGTTTATGACTACATCTTGTCAAATGGTTCTGACTCTACAGAATATTTATAAGAGTGTATACTAAATAAATTTGATGTATGATACTTTTATGTTTCTATCTCTCTTGAAAAAATGTTCATAAATAAAAGTTGATTAACAAATACGTGGACATTAGGTTATTGGATTCCAATAGATTATGATTATATAGACTATGATGAACTATAGACATTTGTCAAAATTTTTCTCGTGTACTACTTTTAAATTATATTTATGGTTAATAATATTTATGACAGTGATTTGATAGATTAAAATATATTTTTATCATTATTATTTACTATATTATAAGTTTAAGGGTCACTTTTCATTACATTTGATAAAAATATTATTTTTAATTTTAAGAAAATGGATAGTTAGTATAAAAAATAAATAGTTATTTATTATCATTAATCTTTTTATGTAATGACTAAATAAAATAAAATAAAAAATGTTAAATAACTTTTACCTTTATTTTGGTAATAGATAAAAATAACAGTATTATTGAAGATTTTTGGCATCTTATCACTTGTAAATTCTATCTATTTATAACTATAATTAATAATATATTTAATAATTGTATTTATTTGGCCTAAAGATTATAATATAAGTTCTTTATTTTTTATTGATTAAAAATTTTATTCATTTTTTTGGTAGATATTTTGACTAACCGAGTGTTTACATACACTCGGTGATATTTCTAGATTCTGAACATTTATATTTTTAAACATTATTACATTTTATTGCATTCACTAAACCAATTAGTGAATGTATGAAAAAAAAAATAATGTATTGTTAGTTCCATTTTATTTATTTATTATTACTATTATTATATAATAAATTTTGATTTTGACAAAAGAGTAAAAATAAAATATCTTTCAATTAAATAACAGTTAATAACTTAAAAAAAAAATTTAATTTGTTATCATTTCTCTTTTTCTCTAATGACATCATCTTGGAAAGTCATGTTGTCTAATTCAAAGCTATCAATCTGAGTAATTGTATCTACTACAGTTTTTAAAACAGAATCATACGCGGGTGATCTGATATCTGAATATTTCTTTTCTTTAACATCTCCAACATAATTTCCTTCTTTAAATTCCTTTCCTTTTTCTATTTTCTCTTTTTTGTGTTCATTATACATCCATCTATCATTAATTTAAAAAATATTAAAGAGGCGAAATGTTTGAAATTGTTTTTCTATTATTACTCGCTTACAAGAAAATTATCACAGCAGGAATAGTTAAGGCACCTCCTAGCAAAAAAAATGCACCAGGAAATGACTTAAGAGTAGTTTTGTACACGGCGCTGTACATTGGGCCATAAATCAATGGTACTAATGCTTCACAAACACCAAATAAAGAGTTGGCTTTACCTGCAGTTAAATATTTTTCTAGTTAATTAATAAATTTATAATTTATATATGATTTATGAATAGTTAGTGTTAAAAAATAATGAAAGAAAACTTTCGAAAATCATTGAATTTTTCAACGAGTATATAATACATCCAAAGAAAAATCTAATGTTTACATCAAACAAAATGTATAATTTATTAATTTTTTATAGTTAACTATGTTTTATGCAAATTACCCAACTCATGTGGTGGAACGAGTTTAGAGACGATAGACCTCATAGCAATAATCGATGTACCATTTAAAATATCAACCAACGCTCCTGTAACATTATTAAAAAATAAGAATTGTTACATGTAAACATCAACATAAGACTACTAATAATTTAATTCGAGTATCATATTACTATTACCTAAGTAATATATAAAATCAGTCGTTGCATATGCATATACAAAGCCAGCTAAGATTTTGCTCATACATGACATAACTCCAATAACTGCATCATCAATTTGTAACATATGACTAAACACGCCAACAGAAAATATTGTACCTTGTGTTGAAAAATAAATGTTTAGAACCAAAGTTTTTCATTAAACTTTCATTAATTTAATTCTGACCTACTGAATTAGTTATCATGGAATAGGTCGAAAATAAACTGTAGTCTACTTCATCCCAATTGAATCTTACCCGAGTGAATAGGTACATTACAGACATTTCACCTGCATATTATATCATATATTGAAATCATTTTAATTAATGTTTTAAACACGAATAATGTGAATAGAATAAATATTGTGTGTAATTATTATTGTTTCTAATTACAATTTTGTTGTTATCAAAGATGCTAAAAAATGTTTTTAATGCAAAATCTGTTAATTTTAAATGTTTTATTGTCGCAATTTTTTTGTAATATGTGACATAAAAAATTGTGTTTGTGGAAATTTGATAAGAAATTAAATAAGTTTGTAGATTTAGGCATAATTTAGGTAATAATTCTAATTTAAAAATGAGATGAATTATAATAGAAATATTTGAGATGTATGTGAAATTGATGGGGCTTGATACTAAACGATTATGCAAGTTTATTTTTTGTTTTGAAAAAAAAATAATTTCTTAATTTAGTTATGATGGGCCTATTGAAGTGATTTATCATTGATAGAACTGAAACAACTTTCGGATTTACTCAAATTAATTAAATCTCATTTTGACTTGTTTTTTTGCAAAAAAATGCCTTATCTATGAGTTTGTTTAAAAAGTTTTAATTTATTTATAAAAATAAAATTTTTAAATTTTTTTCATCAAAATTTAATGAAAAAGTTTTGTGGAAATAGTAGAAAATTAAATTTTATTTTATTATTTTCATGCACTTTAATCTATGTTAGTAAATTAGAAAAAATAGAAATGTTCCCTTCTGCGTTTAACAATTTGTTTATATTGCACACCGTAAATAGGTCCATTTGCTACTATGACGACTACCATGAGTAATATGATACGTAATCTTCTATTATGTTGTCCTCCTTTAAACACAATGCGAATAGCTTCTTTTATGTGGCCCACATTAAAAAAGTCTTTCACCAAATATATGCAAGATATTTCTGCAGGTTGTTTATTATCATCTATATGGACTTCTGGCTTTTTTTCTTTGATAAAAAATAAACCGTAAGTGAAACTGAGTATGTATAAAACAGTAGCAATTGTATATACTCCGTAAAATCCCAATTTTTTGAACAATACACCCGATAAAGCAGTTCCAACAGGTATTCCCACAAAACAAAATACGTTAACTACTCCTATTCTAAGAGTTCGCATTTTCACCTATTTGATAAAAGTCGATCGTTATATTTTTTATTGTTTTATAAATATTTTGTTTTTCTTGTACTTACTGAAGATACATCTCCTACATAGCTGAAAACGGCCATAAACATGGTCATCCAACCTCCAGTCATGGCTGGTGGGATTGATTCTACTAGACCAGCTACTTCCATTGGTAGCTCATAAAAATAGTAAGTACACACCAACAGACCTATGCTAGTGAGGAACTCTCCGATAATTGGTACTAACATGCAAGGCTTACGTTTGTGATTTCGGTCACTCCACGAACCAACAAATGTAATTAAAATCGAAGGAATGCTGCTCTGCATAATGGTTTTCCATATTATCATGTCTGCGACTAGCTCTTGAACCATAAGTTCTTCTTTTGCAAAATTTACCGTATTCTTATTTTCCAACGCATAACAAATACTTTCATTCAGTCTCAGATTAACTCTACATGCTTTCTGTAAATTCAAGTTTTGCGTAGCGAGAGATGTCAATACACTTGAAACTATATAACAGCCTAACATTGGTTCTACAGTGCAATGTTTGAACAAGAATTTTGCTTTGGACGTTACGCTTAAAGATTTCCATTCATCTTGGTCGTCCATCTGTTGATTTTCGATATTCTCTTGTTTTTCACATTTCGTAACACTAACATCAAAACACATTTTTGTAAGGACTTATTTAAATTACTAGAAGGTATCAATCATTCACAGCTACCCTGAAACAATAACGTAGAATTAATCATGATGAGATATCTGAAATAAAAGTTATGATTTTTACTACATAATACATTTATATATGAATATATGAATATATATTCAAATTTATCTGATCATTTAACGTTACATTTATAAAAAACATGTTAAGTGGAGTATAATATTAATAAAGGTATTACTTTCATCATTACTGACCGCGTAGTAGCCGAATGTTAGGAATACAAGCGTTTTAAATTATTATTCTATGATTATGTTCTAGATCACTTCAAATCTACATAAAGTTTAACCTAATTGGTTAACTTTTATTAGATTACAATGGTTTTAATGATATATTTGATAGTGAATAAAAATGCCAATTAATTGCATTATTCTAATTATATTAAGCAATTCTTATAGTTTCACATTCGTTAGTTCAATTATAATTATTAGTTTTATTTGTTTTGATTATACTTCATCTGTAATAGAAAGTACACTTACATTTATGTACTATCCTAAATCCATATTTACTTGTCAACGACAAGTAATTCCATATTGAATTATTATAATTATTATTTGTGTGCGTATTGTTATTATTGTAATTATTTGTAGTGTATTAAAGACTATATCCAGGTAGAGTTTTACAAAAAAATTATTCTTTACACATTTCATCAAAATTTAGGCATTTTTTAGGTTTTGGGAGGTTTTAACATGCGAACCATTCTCTGTAAATAAATCTCTGATAATTATTATACATATTGTCTCGTATCAAATGACATCAATTTTAGGCATTAAAACTCTCAAGAATCTAGTTTCTAGCTTATTTTAGATATTATATTAAAATGTAAATTTAAACAAAAAGACTAAATGGGTTCATTTTGATATCAACCTAAAATTTTACGAATTTATAATTAAACTAATAGTTTTGATTATATTGTTAAATAAGTGGAAAATAACATCTCACTCAATTTTTATTTTAAAATATAATATATTTATTCACTTCCGCTATAGCTAAAATTTTACCATTCATAATGAGACACTCAGTCTATTCATTATTTGGAAAAATATTTCTGTGGAAAAAAATTCATTGTTATCATAAGATTACAAAGTATCAAGGTTTAGAGAACTGACTGATTGAATCAATTCGGTTAAAAGTGTAATTTAGTTCATGAATAAAATTATAAACATTTTATCAAAAATACTCACATATTTAGTAGCTAATTATTAACTTTATCTTAATTATAATTAAAATTAATGATAAAAGTGTATGACATTTCATCCGAGACCAAAATATACTATTCTAAACCTATTTTTGGGCCTATTTCGAATCTGCATTCAGAGTTTCGCATATGGCCTAAATAATGACAAAATCCTTCTAATTAATATAAAAAATATTTATGTTTGATTATTAGGTTACGTATGAATAATTCCCCCTGTACAGGGTGATTTTTTTATCATAACCCACTCAATTACTTACAGAATAATAATAATTTAAAAAATTTTTTTTATTATTATCTTTAGTTACACATTATTCTTGAATTATTAACTATGTAATACTTTTTAAGTTCATCCCTTATGCCTGGTAAGGGTGTCAACTTTGTTTTTTTAAATGGTAACACATATTTTTAATTTAATAAAATGTTTGAGTTTTTAATTCAATAGTAAATGGCATTTGAATTTTTAATAAAACTTAATTTGTTTATTAGATATAAACATTTAAAGTTTCAAATTTTTGAGTTAATATATAGGTATAATACACAAGGGATTACAAATACAGGTAGCTAATTGGTTTTTTATGACATCGATATTAGCAGGTACACAGCATTGTTATTATCAATGATAGTAAGGTACATTGTTGTGAGTTTATAAATACACTAACTGACAATACAAAAAGTATATCTATTGATAGTCATAATTGATAATAAACAATCCGTGACTGTGATAGCAATATCATAAAAAACCAATTAGCTACCTGTATTTGTAATCCCTTGTGTATTATACCTATATATTAACTCAAAAATTTGAAACTTTAAATGTTTATATCTAATAAACAAATTAAGTTTTATTAAAAATTCAAATGCCATTTACTATTGAATTAAAAACTCAAACATTTTATTAAATTAAAAATATGTGTTACCATTTAAAAAAACAAAGTTGACACCCTTACCAGGCATAAGGGATGAACTTAAAAAGTATTACATAGTTAATAATTCAAGAATAATGTGTAACTAAAGATAATAATAAAAAAAAATTTTTAAATTATTATTATTCTGTAAGTAATTGAGTGGGTTATGATAAAAAAATCACCCTGTATAAAGATAAATGTTTCGATTTAGAAAAAAAAGTATGTCGAATATAATACTATTATATAAATGGTATTTATCATAAAAAAATTGTAATAATCCATATATTTTTCAAAAGTTTATGGCAGTTTTAAGTAAAAAAAAATTGAAAAATATCAAAACTTATTGATTTTTAAATTTGTAATTTTTTTGGAGATTTCTTCCATTTACGGGGAATGAGGAAAATTTTTCCAATTTTTGAGGATAATGTCTTCGACTAGATACGATTAATGATCTTTTGGCGTATCATTGAAAGAAATCGGTTCGGTGAGAATAAAAAAAAAGTGACAACAGACACAAAAAAATAAAGTAAAAAAAAAATACACCATATTTAAATTAATATCTTCTCATCTTCGTATCGAAGCTAAAATATATCTTTATAAGGTATAAAAAATGCACTTAAAAATACTAATATTTAATAAATATATGAAACTAACAAATACCAAAATGTATTTTCTCAACATAATTATTATCTCAAGAGAAATAAAGTTGCTAATATTAAAGGAATCACATTGTATATATTGCTCAAAGAACGATCATTAAAACTAAAAATATTGGCATCTACATAATATAAATAGAAAAAATAATTGTTTACCTTTTTAAACTGATTTAATTACCTACAACTCAATAGCTTTAAATGCAATGTATTGTATTTTTAAATTTTTGTTTAAAATGAAAAATTGTTATTTACAAATATAATGAACTATGATTTTTAAAATATAAAACCATAGCGAATTGCATTACATAATGCATAAGCGCAATCTTGAAAATAGATCTGGAGGGGGTTTATTTATTTTCATTCCATATATATATAATATTTTAAAATAAATTAGATACTATATTTAGAGTAAAATACAAAAAAATTTAACAATTTAACACTCTATTTAAGATCTGTTGTAAACTGTTCTTAAGGTTCTAATAAAATTATCGTATCAATTTTAATTTACATACAAAATATACTTTTTTTAAATCGGACCATTTACCTACATACAGGGGGAATTATTTATACGTAACCTAATAATCAAACATGAATATTTGTTTTATTAATAAGAAGGATTTTGTTATTATTTAGGCCATATGCGAAACTCTAAATGCAGATTTGAAATAATGGGTTTAAATAAAAATGGGTTTAGAATAGTGTATTTTGGTCTCGGATGAAAATTCATTGTAGACCAGTAAATATATTTACAAATAACAATTTTTTTTTTTAAGTATTGCATCAAGATCTTCAACTTTTATATACGTTTGTCAAAAGTACTTTATAATTTCTCCATAAAAATTACAATACTAAATTATGTAATATCAATTTCATATTATATTTAATTGCTGTACTAAATATTTATTCATATATAACACTTATAAATCATAAAACTTGTAATCAGAATATAAATAAGGAAATAGGAGGTCATGTAGATTTTGGAATAATCCACCAATTTTTTAAAATTAAACGCTATCTAAGATTTGCATCGAAACGTTATGATAGTGATTTTAATCCCTATTTTATCCTATTGACACTATATCATCAGCGAACAACATGCACCACAGGACCTCCCTTGTTTATATTTAGTAATTTCATCCATCATTATAGAAAATAAGTAAGGGCTTATAGCAGAACCTTGGTGCACTAATATTACCCTAAAATCTTTGCTATTCCTCCCACACTATTTACACTGATACAAGTACCATCATACATGACTTAATAATTGATAAATCTTTAAATATATATAACAAAAAAATATCAAAAATTATTTTCATAACATAATTATTATTAAAGAGAAATCGAGTGGTAACATTAAAATATATAGAATGGTTTGCTAAACAATCAGTTAACGTTAAAAATTGTGCACAGATATATATTTTAATTTTTTTTTAAATTTTAGTGTAGCCTTAAACAAAAATTTGATAAAACGTAATTTGAAAATTATAATTTTCAAAATATGTTTATATCTAAACACTGTAAATTATAGTTAACAGTATTTATATTTAAGTGATCAAAGGATTTTCATATTGACTGTTAAAGGCTAATTGGCGTAAGCAGCATGTTGTTAATAATGTTCAGATTTAGCTGATTTGAAATATTCATAAGTTACTTTTATTTTTTAGAAAAAAATAATTGTAGCTAAAAATGTCACTTACGCCAAATAGTTCACAAACAGTTGACATATTAAAATAGAAGTATACTCATATTTCCTAAATCTCAGACTAGTTGTAAAAAAATATATTTATAATGTTAATTAAACTTTATAAAGTATTGTTTATGGCTGTAACAATAATTATGATAATGGACATATTACTAGCACAATAAAAACCTTCGAATATGTATATGACAACTAAGTTTAAAATATTATTCAAATAAGTTTAAATAGAATGCTTGTTTGTTTTTAAAAATGTGCAATATTCGTATGAGTTATAAATGAATGTATTCATATAACAATATATTTCATACGTTTTAAAACCATAAGCAACCTATTATGAGTTTAGCTTAAAATTCTAGTAAAATTAGCTAGAATAATTAGCAAAATTTAATATCTATATTTTTCTTAACTAAACAAAACATTTGTTGTAATTGTTTATCCAATTACATATATATATATACAAGGTACCAGAAAAGGATGAAAGAAAAGGAAGTATCAGGAAATAACATTTAAATGAGTTTAACTGTGAAAATTTTAAATGCAGTTAAAGAAACTAAATTATGTTTACGGTGGATAACAATTAAATTGAAATATAATAGAAAAGTCTTTGCTGCTCAAACATGTTTAGAAAAAAACAGTTTAAGTTATTTAAAATAAAAAAAAGACATATAAGTTTCTCCAAAAATGAATGTTTTTGAAAATTATATCTTAAAACTATGTAATACTAAAACTATATTTTTACAAAAAATTGTTTTTTTTTGCTAAGCCTAATATTTAGAGTGATAAGGGGGAAATTAAAAAAGAACTGTTATAGTCTTAAAACTATATTATTGCAAAATAATTTGATCTTATAGAGTTTAATAGGTCAAATACTCATAATTTAATGCGATTAGAAACAATTAAATTAAGTACACATAATGTAACCTAGCGTCTACACATACTGTAAATAATATTACACAGAGGTTATATTCTTTTAGAATACCTGTTTACAAAATTAGAAGCATATACTTTTAAAATATCTTGTATACAACATTAAAGGAATTTACCTTCAGAGCATCTGTATATAATAGAAAAAGTTATATATTTTTAGTACATTCTATATATAAAAGTAAAATAGTATATACTTTTAGAATACTCTGTATATAAATGTATGTTACTAAAGAAACTAATATCGGTAAATACACATTACTAAGTTTTTAAATCAATAAAATTTTTTTACTAGCTGATTACTTTATTTTGGAAGTCATCATTCAAATTTTATCAACACGCTTAATTTTTGTGATATTTTACCAATAAAATTAATACAGTTGTATCTTAAAATATTTTATTGACATAAAAAAAATATACAAAAATGACATTTATCTTTTTTTTTTATTTAAAATTATTGAATTTATTAAAATTATACTTGGTTTTATTAGAAACAATAAATTTTATAATGCAAAATATGTATTTTTTGAAAAGGTCTATTTATACAATAGATTGTGTTCATTATTAAGAAAAAACTAATGTTTATCTTAATGTCTTATGTATACTAAGTAAAAGAATAAAAATGAAATAAATATTAATAAATACAATTAAAACTATTGTAACCATTGTTCAGTACAATACTAGTCTAAAGTAAAGGTAAAAAGCATAAAAATGAATGAAAAACGTATTTTGATTGACTTAATTCTCACTAGTAAAAAATGTAACAAAATGTACATTGGTAACATGTAGACTCAGTGGCACAGTAAGAAAGTAATTGTTTTTGGTGAGGGGGTTTTACCTTTTCTTTTTACTCATCAAACGTTCTTATTCATATACGTTCTTTAAGAAAACTCTAATGAGCAAAAATAAAAAAAGTCATCAAGACTAAAAATTCAAACATCGCATTTCGGGGGATTTCAACCCTTAAACTTTGGTGGCTTCACTGAGAAGATTAGTGTCATGACAATAATTTTTTTTATTAAAAAATTTATATATTAACGAATCTTTTAAATATTAATTAAATATGATTAAAATTGAAGTAAGTTAAAACAAACAAATAATTTCACAAGTATTTGAAATTAATATTGTTGGATTTAGAAAATTTTATTTATACTTTTCCTTTTCCTGCACTCTCTTCGATTTGGAAAGCCATGTTATCTAAGCCAAAACTAGCAAATTGAGCTGAACCTCTATGAGTTTGAGTTCTTCGGTCTAGTATTGTTTTTAAATCAAAGTCATGTGTCGATAACCTGAAATCTAAACTATTTTTCTTTTTTATAAATCTAGTTTTCTTATCTTCTTCTTTCAATTCTTTTTCTTTTTCCGTTCGCTCTTTTTTGTGTTCACTATACATCCATCTATAAATTAAATTAGTAATGAATTATATTTTGATCTAATTTATAAATAAGCAATGTAATAGTTAATGTTTTACAAACAAAATTTTTATTAATTCCTCACTTACAAAAAAATAAATGCTGCTGGTGCAGTTAAAGCACCTCCGAGTAAAAAAAATGCACCAGGAACTGTTTTGAGTGTAGCTTTGTACACAGCACTGTACATTGGACCATATATCAATGGAACTAATGCTTCACAAACACCAAATAATGAGTTGACTTTGCCTGAATTCGATACAATTTTCAATTTATTAATAGACAATTAAAAAATAGTCAACTATACTTTATACTATACAGTAACAATATTGTATATCTAGGGTAGTACGATTTTCCAAACTTTTATATTACTAGCGCTAATAGGGAAAATTTGATATCTATTGAGTTCAAAAGAATATCCTTAAAAAGATTTAAAAAATATCGACTCTTTCAGGTTCTATACCCCAAATGAAGTTTTTGTTTATTAATAAAAAAGCTATATTTTCGTTTGTGCGCGGTTTCGCCATCGTAGATTCCCTGACTAAAGCCCACTATTGGCAGCAATACAGTACATTGACTTTTATAATAATTATAATCTAATTATGTTATTTATGTTATTCACAGAAATTTTCCGCGTTTTGTGTAACTTAGGTGTTGATTTTCATAGTTTCCCTGTTCTTGTAGTATTTTTATTTTATGTTATGTTATTTGTATATTCTTGAGTCTCAAAGTGAATTTTACTGCCATGAAAACGTAAAAAAAGTAAAGTTTTTTATACTCTTCAAATTGTAAAAAATTAATTTATTAAAATAATATAGATCTAAACTAAACTTAGAGTATACATATAATATTTTTTTTAATATACAATTAACTAGTTTCGGCTAAAAGCCATTATCAAGTTAGTGTATAAATTTCATATAATATAACACATTAAATAAAACTCATATTACATATAACTATATTTCATATGAATAATGAATTATCAAATAAATATTAAACAAAATAAACACAAACATTAGCACGATGTAAAATAAGTAAAATTTGGAAAAATAGACTAGTTAAAAGCATAAAAATATCAAATGAGTAAAAGGACTTATTATCTATTAAATTTTACATTATTTTAAAAAATTGATTATTTTCAATTTGAACAGTATTAAAAGTTTATTTTTTATTCAAGGTAATTTGTGAGTTTGTCGGATAATAGAAGAACTAAATGAAAACGTTCTGCCAACAATTTGCATTTATTGTTTTTTTATCTTTATATCTTAGGTTGATAAAAATACAAAGTAAAAGAGATCCATTCAGTGGTGAAACCCGATCAAAAGTACCTCCAAAATATTATGAATTCGGTAAATACTGGTTTTGTATCAAATTCACTTGAGCAACGGAATCCTGGCAAAATCGTTTACGCACTATAGCTCACAATAGAAAATCGCATTCTGTGTTCATATTTCACTAAAAAACATAGGTTCCAACGTCTTCAGATTATTTGAACACTTTGGCTACATATATAACGGAAGTGTGTCCCAATGTAGTTCATTATCAAAATAAATACATCGTTTACACAGAAGGGCCTTAACATTTGTTCAAATTTTTTTCTCAAGATACCTCTTTCAGAGACTAAAGGATGTGATTGATCCAGCCATTTAACGAAATGAATTCTGGTGTCACCATGAAAATTTATTGATGGCCATGTTGTTTTTACACTAGAAACTACGTAAAAGAAAAGGAGTTCAAAGATTCAGCGAGCTAGACAGAAACCGAATTCCACTCAAAGGAGGTTCAAGGTGTCGACAATTAAATTCAAAGCTGATGAATACACCGACCTGATAGCCTTCGATAAACTGGATCTCATTATGGAACCGTTAACAAAAAAAATGTGTCCTTTTTTAACTAATAATGAACTTTGACACTTTGGTGTTACAAAAAAAAATTCCAAGCTTGATTCAAAAAAAGACTAATTAAACTGAGTTTCTATTTGTTTTTTCAACAAAAATAAGAGAACCATTATAGTAAAATAATTTGTGTAATTGTTAAGATCTTTAATTGTTAAAATGTAATTGACGAAATTTTGAACTGAGCAACAGATAAATAATTTAATTTAATTTTTGAACTAGAAATAGCTTTGGTGGGATATGAATTCAAAATTTTCATTTTTTTGCTATACATTATAGCAAAAAAATTTTTTAGAATAATAATAAATAAAAATAATTACATTATTAAGCTAATTTCTTAAAACTTTCTTTTCAATTCGGTCAAAAATTATGCAGTTTTTAATGGTTTACTATGATATTAAAAATTAGATTCATAGCTGTTCGTGATTTAAAAACCTTTCAAATTAATTTACTTTTAATTTTCACTTTTAGAACAATTTTCTTGATAGAACGCGAATGTTTAAATTTTCCTCTTTAAACATTACTTATTTGGGAAATATATGATTATTCGTTGAGCCATCAGTTTATACTTTTGAATATTTTAAATACAATATATTGCTATTTAATTAAAATTAAATTAAATAACAATATTACTTTAAATGCATATTACCTAACTCGTCTGGCGGAACGAGTTTAGAAATGATAGATCTCATAGCAATAAATGATGTACCATTCACAATATCGACCAATGGTGCTGTATTTAAAAATAATAACAATATTATAATAAATGTATGCATAATAAAAACTATCTGAGGTTATCACTTAGGGACATTAATTTACCTAAATAAAATACAAAATCTGTAGTTGCGAAAGCATATACAAAGCCAGCTAAGATTTTGCTCACACATGACATAACTCCAATCAATGCATCATCAATTTGTAACATATGACTAAACACTCCAACAGAGAACATCGTACCTAATACGAAAAACAATTATTTAATAAAATTAATATTAGAATTTGAGTTCCGTAATTTATTACTGACCTACTAAATTTGTTATCATAGAATAAGTTGAGAACAAACTGAAGTCTACTTCATCCCAATTGAATCTTACGCGAGTGAAAAGGTAGATAACAGACATTTCACCTAAGATAATATTCTAAAATGTGTCAAACCATTCTCTACTTTAAAGAAAATAAATGTTTTGATGTGTTTTTAAACAAAAATCTTTATAATGATATTATATATCGTTATCTTTTTTATCTCTTAGATTTTATCGAAATATTTAAAATTATTCTTAATTTAAATAATATAAAAAGCAGAAATTTGCTTAAATGAATATTTTGAAATTTTTTTAAGAAAACAGCTTGAGGTGATCCCCCGCTGTATAATCAACGTATACTACCTTGAATAATATAGTAGTAATAATAATAAGAAAACATAATTCTCGTAATTAACTTATAATGACAACATAATTTTTAACAAAAGAGCTTATTAAACATTTTAGTTAAGACTATAATTGCATGTTGTATTAAATAAAATTAGACTATTTTTAATATAATAAAACAAATATGTTGTTCCCAATTTTCAAGAGTGTAATTTTAAACTTGATAAGACTCAAATTAAAAATGAATCCCTTACCCTTCACTTTTTCCTTTAGTTATTATGATAGAAATTTAATTAAGAACAGTGACATTAACTCAACATTAACTGAAAGTCGGAACTCTATAATTCACAAAAAAATTTTTAATTGTTTTTTTTTAAATTATTTATTGAAATTTTATAAACTTGATTTTAATTTTAATAAATCAAAAGTGACCTTAAATCATATTTGTAAAACATACCATGCAAAGGTCCCATTACTACTATAACAACTACCATGAGCAGAACAATGCGTAATCTTCTGTTGTGTTGTCCTTCTTTAAATGCTACACGAATTGCTTCTTTTATATGACTAAGACTGAAAAAGTCTTTCACCAAATATAAGCAGGTAGTTTCTACTGGTGTCTTCTTGTCTTCTGATAGGAGTTCTGGTTTGTCTTCTTTGATAAATAATATGCCATATACAAAACTGAACACGTATAAAACAGTAGCAATAGTGTATACACCGTAAAATCCTAATTCTCGAAATAATATACCCGACAACGCCGTTCCTATTGGTACACCTACCGAACAGAATACGTTAACAACTCCTATTCTAAGAGTCCGCATTTTCACCTAATGAAAAACAGACAATCATTTATATTTATAATAATGTTATATTTTTTCTTTTCTTGTACTCACTGTTGTTACATCGCCTACATAGCTGAATACAGCCATGAACATGGTCATCCAACCTCCAGTCATGGCTGGTGGGATTGATTCTACTAGACCAGCTACTTCCATTGGTAGCTCATAAAAATAGTAAGTACATACCAACAGACCTATGCTAGTGAGGAACTCTCCGATAATTGGCATTAACATACATGGTTTGCGTTTGTGGTTTCGGTCACTCCATGAACCTATAAATATTATTAAAATCGATGGAATGCTGCTCTGCAATATAGTTTTCCATATTATCATGTCTGCGACTAGCTCTTGAACCATGACTTCTTCTTTTGCAAAATTTGCCGTATCTCTATTTTCCAACGCATAACAAATACTTTCATTCAGTCTCAAATTTACTCTACATGCTTTTTGCAAATTTAAATTTTGCGTAGCGAGAGATGCTAATACACTTGAAACAATGTAACAACCCAACATTGGTTCTACAGTGCAATGTTTGAACATGAATTTTGCTTTGGACGTTAGACTCATTGATTTCCATGTTTCGTTGTTATCGATTAATTCTACAGATTTTTCGCATTTTGAGACACTGGTGTCATAAGTCATTTTTGTTTAATTGGCTCAATCGGTTGGTCAATATCAATCATTTAGAATTAACGTATATTGTTAAAATAAACATAGCCACAATACAACTGCTAAAATAAATATAATAATTTATTTTAATGTATCATAATGATGCCTTTGTGCATATTAATTGAACAAATCTAATTCAATAATATTAATATAGCTATACTTTAATTTAAAAATATTTAATTAGAAACAAATAATAGAAAACTGGTTCGAGGCAAAAAATGTTTGCCCCTTAGTAAAAATTTTCCGGTTACGTGTGTAGCCAAACTGAGTAGGAGAGTAAGACATTATTCTTAACCTTCTTCTTATTTTTCATCGCCTTTATCCCAACTATTTGGACTCGATCACTCTTATCCTAAATTTCCACTTAACACCATCTTCCTCATCATCTACGCATACATCAGCTGTCCGCATGTCGCATTCAATAATATCCCTCCATCTCTTTTTTGGTCTTTCTCTACCTCTTCTTCCTCAACATTAATTTCCATAACTATTTTTATACCTTCCGATTTCGCCCTCCTCAAAGCCATTTTTATAAATCCATAAAGATATTCATCGAAAAGTACGAACAAAATATCTTATTTATCATATCTCATATCAAAGCTATAATAATTATGCCTTAAACTATTTTTAACACGTGGAACAAAAATTAAATGGCCAATTGGTTCCCTTGATTGTTAAAAGTTAATAATAGAGATATTTTTTTGTGATTATATTAAAAAAATTCCAATACTTTATTAAATTTTTCCCTTTATAATACATATTATTTTTTATTATACTGTAATGTAATAAAATAGTTATTAATAATTATTGATAATATATTAAAATATAATTTATAGAATTAATTATTATTTATTACGATAAACAAAAATAATTACCATATCATTAACTTTGGAAACTGTCTAATTCATATTATAAGTTATTCGAAAACAAATTTTAAAGCAGAATAATTTTTATTAAATTAAAATTTATAAGTATACATGAAGTACTGAATAAATAAAAAATTTAATATTCGGGAAAATTCTAATTGCAATGTACTTAGGTCAATAAAAATCGATAGGCTACATTTTATAAATTATAACAATAAATATAATACTATGGGATAATTATAAAATTGGAAATCAAAGCTATAACTCGTTTTTGGCCCAACTGTTTAGAGTGATACGTAAAAATGAGTTTCTTCGAAGATGTATTAGACATAACAATAATTTTTACAGTGTTAATTATTGGAATAAAACAACAAAATATCTATTATAATGACTTGATAAAAATTAAATAAATATTTATTTGTCAAAAATAAATTATTTATATTTTTCTAGGCAGAAAATTTTGTGAAGTACCAGTGTTGACAACGGGTGTAGTATTGTACCAGACTGGCATCTGACCATTGGTATCTTGACCCGTAACAGCATAGTACTAACTGGTGTCCTGTCTAAGTGTTAATCCAATATTGGTGGTCAATATTTAGGTGCCATTGCTGGGAGAGTACTAGCGTAATACTTGTTATTCAAAGTCCCCAATAGAGACTTATCAGTACGGAAAAATGTTATCATTTCAAACATATGACAATGTTGGTCCAGTATTGGTAGCCGCTATTGTGTCAGAATTACCATTACTGGTGCAATACTGTTAATTATCGCCTGTTAAGTTTTGTTTAGGAATTCATCAAAGAAGATTTTTAGTTTATTAAATTACACGTGCAAAGAATTTATTTTGAAAAATCAATATTATTTAATTGTATTGAGTAACTAGGCTCCGTTTAGCTGTGCATCACGTGTAAGGCACGTTAGGCTATTTGATCTGACCTTACAAGTAAATTTCAGATTCCAATAGGAGTACCCGGCTACGTTAGACACGATAATGTTTTACGCAAAAAGTATTACTTCAAAGTCAGTATAACAATAATATAATAAATATATAATTATTAAAATGAGTAAAATTTAAAAAAGGTCCATAGTAAAGTGAAATAAGTATACGGTTAACATTTGGTATCGAGATCATCACAATATTATAATAATATTTCAATTTTAATACTATCTTTGGTATCAAAAATATTAATAAAATTGTGTTCCATTAAAGTAATAAGCTATAATGTGTTACTATAGTATATAATTTCAAACAAAAGAAAGTAAATTTAAATTTTTGTTTATGAATTAGAATATGTGATATACATATTATATAATAACATATAGCATATAATAACTATTAGATGCTAATTAAAATTTAGAAAAATAAGATCATGATATAGTCTTATTTGAAATCATCGCCAATAGTTGAAGTTAGATCCAGATATACATATTTATGTAAAAATCCAATGAACTAATTATATTTCAAATGTTGAGATTAAATATAATAGAGTTATAGTTCTCGAAAATATCGTAACATACTCGTCACTACCAAAACATGGGATAGTTATACATTGTATTCTTAGAAGGACATAATCCTTTTCAAACAAAAATAATTTAAATAAACATTTAAGAGAAACATTTAACAAACACACAATGTTTAGTTATATTATAATACACTCATTTCTATCATAAATTGATTAATAATCACTTTTAAAAATCGTTCCTTCCGAAAATAAATCTATACATTTTTTTGTCATATTTTTTATTCTAATTTTAATAATTAAATGCATTGTATTAATCCTAATCTTACTCCATTCATCCATAATAACTTCTGTATTTTATGCTTATTTATCAATAAACAGTTACACTGTAAGAATTAGACAATGATGATTTTCAGGGGTAAATCATTATTCTTCCCTGTTCATTTAGTGCTCTAGATATCGTTACACGGATATTACGATCATCATTTTCATAGTTCTTACGTGTTAAAGTTGTGAACTAAACTGATTTATGTTATTTTATTTTTAATTATTGATTAATAGTATTATTTGAGATATTATAAGAACCAGGAAAATTATCAGGTAAGATTTTAAAAATTAATAAGAGTTTATGTTATTTCACGACCCTCGAATCACACCCGAATCAAAAATAACTCTTACTCCAACTCTATTCACTCAACAATAAACTCTCACAATCTTTTTATTTCATTTTTATTAATTTTTGAGTTACGATAAATATTATACAGATTATTAGAAAAACATATCCTATGACATAATATATCTATGTGTTAATGTGTTATCATACGACTACACAAAAATGAAATACAAATGTGTATCGAAAATTATACATAATAATAACCAACTAATTATTATTTAGCATAGGATGTATGCAAAAGAAAACTTTAGGATAAATAAAACACATGACTCTGTCGGCAATGAGCGTTTTTACTTAAATTTTTAAACTCCCACGGAGTGCTAAAAATAATTTTCTCATCTTTGCAAACAATTCTTCCAGAATAAAGGCACTAAGCTCTTTCATTAAAAAAAATTGAAAATCGGGTTTTTCTACCTACCTATAGTTGTAGATTATAATGATACACAAGGTGATCCTTTTAAATTCAGTCACGCGAATTCTCTTAAAACTATAATTTTATTGTGAATTTTTTTTTTTTTGTTCTTGTTAGTTACATATGTTACTCCATTTATCATTTATATTTTTTGTGTTCATCTCTTATGCATTATAGAGTGAAACATAGGTAAAATGTGGCTGCTGCTATTTTTATAATTAGTTATTTCTGGGTCGCACTACTATTCCAGTCTACATTTTAAAATGTTAATAACTTCCAAAGTATTAATCCAAAATTTGTTATCGACTAGCCATTTTTTTAATTTGATCATTTTTTATTTTATAAGATAATTTAATACATATGTTGTCATATAAAAAAATATGTTGACAACCCTATAAGATATAAGACACGGAACTAAAATAAAAATTTATATCAGATAAATGAAGACACATAAAAAACTATAAAATATAAAAAACATAATTTTTAAGAGATATTGAGTGACTAGCATTTAAAATTCGATGATCGTTAAGTAATTTTTCTAGCATTTGCAAGTTTTCAATGTTTTATTACATAATAAGATTATTATATGTTCATTCATACAAAACTATCAAAAATAAAAATGCTATCTTGGAGTAAAATATTTTGTAAAAATATTGTTGTTGAGTTTTGTATTGTTTATAAACAAATGAGATATATTGATATTTTTAACAAAGGATTTATAATTTTTTGTCAAATACAAATTAGAGTAACTTTTCATAACTAATTTTTTACAAATGAAGATTTGTATACACATGTTTAATTATGGTAAAACAATATAACTTAATGATTTCGCAGTATCGTTTAATAACATCCCCGCACATTCAAATATTATCAGGTTAGTGATCTCTGGTAGAAGTTAGTAAATAATGACCTTATAACATACTTCTTCAAATATCAGATAAACATTGATCACTTATGAAATATCATGTAAGAGCAATAACAATAGCGACTCATATAATCATATACACGAATATGTACATATATTTTGTCACAAATTTTCTTTTTTAATTATAATAATAGAGACAAATTTGTTTTATTTTGTTTTGAAATATATAATTAATAAGGAAATAGCTTTAATAATACAATTTAATATTGTATTATAATAATAATAAGTGTTTATATATTGAAGAGTTAATGTTTATATATTTATGACTACATATTCTACAGATGGATTGAATAGATTAATCAACATTTTCAAATAAATTTTTTATTTACTTCAGGATAAAGAAAAATCAATATCTTAATTTTTCATTGTATCAAGATTTTAGTTTATCAATTTCTAAATAAAGATTTTTTTTTTTTTTTTATGTCAACATTTAGAAATTTAAAACTTTAATTGTTAATTTTTGATTCATTCAAGATAAACAAACTAAATTATTTTTTTCATTAAAAAATATAAATTAGGTAACAGTCAAACCTAAAGAGACTTATAAAATAAAGGTGTTTTTAACTTAGGCAATGGAAAATGATTTTTTATAGGGTTTTCTATGAATATCAGTCATTATTTTGTAACACAAAAAACTAAATAAAATGTATAAATAATCATTTTTATTTAATCTGTACTATAACTATAATTTTTTTACGAACAACTTATTCAAAATTTAAATAATAT